TCGTGCAAATTGCATGCGCAAACACTGGCGATTATGATATTCCTCAGATGTTCTCATACGATTTTTGATACTTTTATTTAGAGACTTAATCGCAGACTATTTGTATATAACTAATATCCAATTTAGTTGTAATTCTTTAAAACCTTGCGTATATTTCTCCTCTTTCTCTTTTCTGAAGTATTTAAATAGTAAACCGCTTTTAAATGCGATAACTAACTTAAACTTTGAATCATTTATCAAGTGGGGTATTTGTTTCAAGAAAAGAAAAACATTACGAATAAACAACGCAATTTTTTTGCTCTTTTTCTTTCGCGAATATTATTATTTCGTAATTGATTCATAACCTTGTATTGTAAATTTTAAAGTGTTGCATCAACGTCGTTCATTCTTCTCTTTTTTTTTAATAAAAAATATTTATATTTCAATTGCGCCAAAGTAAGTGAATTAATTATTGAATCATTAACACTAATACATACACATACAGACTCATTGTCAATCTTCTATTTGTATGATTTACATAAACGATCAATGAAATCAATCATCATGTCAAGGACACTATTAGCTTCCTATTAAGACTGCCTCATCAAGGGAAAAACTTCATTGGATTGTACTGTTAACCCGAATAAATGAAAATGAAACACACCGAACTGCTGGAGACTGATACTAGAAATGGAAGCTTCCAGTGAAGGATCGCCAATACAAACAATTAAAAGCTTGTTTATAATTTTGTAACCCGGAGCCTCAGAGACTGACTCTATATGCTTGCTATATGAAAAACGTCTAGTATAAGCGATCTGCTTGTATGTTAACCTATAATGTAGATAATTGAATAAATTATCATAGCTTTTGGTATTACACAACTTATGAGTTTCCATTTTTCGTGTTCAGAATCAGATTTTCTTTGTCTCTTTTGTTCAAAAACTCATTGTTGTCTTCTTCACCCTATTTCTCGTTTTATTGACATAGTATAAGTTTAACTTTAATTTTCAAGAATTTTTTCTTTTATGTAAAATGAAAGAATCTTTCCTTGTCCAGATCATAGTTCAAAGAAAATCACTTTGGAGATCTCTTCTTATTGTTGAATACATGTATGCAGTGACAAAAAAAAAGTAACAGGCATTTCTATTCAGCGTCGATACGAGTTAAAACAACAGCTCAATTAATAATGTAGGCTTTTTACGCGCTTTAATCACCTGCATAATAGTTTAAGGTTACCCTATACAGTGTGGTGCTCGATATTCCATTAGAACTGCTCTTAGAGGCCAATCAACAGCGTTATAAATAAAAAAAATTATTTGTGTTTATATATTTAAAATGTTAGAAATGTAATATGCGTTTTCAAATTAACTCAGACAAAAAGAATTATTACAAAGTAATAAGTAGAGAATCTAGCTGCAGAAATAGTTCCAGTGTCCACTTCGTTTTTTTTTCGGTATATAGAAACAAATTATACTAGAAAACTTGTATTGTTTAACTAATATAAATAGCAAGCACATCAGGTTTAGTACTTGAGACGTTTATTAAAACTGTGCTATTATTATCATAGTTTAATATATCTAGTTTATTTTATTCTTCTAGTCCTTAGGTTTAAAACCTATCTGTTATAGTTTTATCATTATTAATTTCAAACAAAAATCTCATTTTTATCGTAAATTGATTTATTTGTCTGTTTAAGCGTTTTTCTTTCGTTTTGAACGTCGACACACTTTAACATTGTCTCTAGATGACTTCATATACAATACTGTACGTGTTCGATAATGTTGGCATGTAAAGTTAGATGAGACTGTGAGAAAGAGAGTTACACTGTATCCATTGATTACACATGTGTTAAGTACAAGATATTAATGACATAGCACTGAATCAATAAAGTGTAACAATATGAATAGATCTTGCTAATATATCAGCCAAAGTAATTTATTTACTACACTTTTCTCAGATAACGATTAACTCGATAATAAATCTGCTCGCCTAAATCATTTGATTAATTAAGGAAAAAATCGTACTCAAAAACAGAACAGTATAGAGAGAAAATAAACTTGTAGTAGAATAACAAACAATTTACAAACAAAAAATAATTAGATTGCTTGAAGTTTTATATAAAACAGCTTCAACTTGCAGTAAAGATGTAATACTAATTTATTATGACGATGCTTTTAATTGAAATTAGAAAAAATTATGGCGTACATAAATTGAACGATACAACTTTTATTTGAAAAGAGCTAATGTTCCAAAATGTAGACAAGGTTTGTAGCAACATCTATGCAACAGATCTGTTACAGATTGTTTAGAATATGAACAGATTCCTCACAAATTTTTACACATTTACCACATGCTCCTAAAATTATGTCTCAATAGCTAAACTCTTTTTGGTCGAATGCCGGTATAACCAAAAAATCATCACCAAATCACTACCGCCAACATTAAAACGCGTAGAAATTGGCGAATAGGTACTGATTTTAAGTGATACTGGGTTTTAATCACTCTTCTGAGCCTACCCACTCTTCGCAGACCGATCAAGTGATGGATTCAATATCTGTTGATATTCTGTAACTATCTACAACAGATTTTGTATAGATTCTGCTACAAACTTTGTCTACAGTCTGTAGTGAATGCAAATGCTTGTTTTGAAAATCTGATTAAAAGTTTATGGAGATTTTCCTTGCAAAAAGTTTCTCTGAGAAGAGAGCAAACGAAATACTTACTGCTAACAGTTATAAAAACATTCGAACAGCGAGCATCTCATAAGTGGCTGAGGTTCAGAAAATACTCGAAGTCGAATATCCTAGAAAATATTAGCTTACACACTATATTACGTAGCGATTATACGATCAATCTTGTGCAATCACGTTTTTCCTGTGAAAAAGCGCTTTTGAATCGCAAGTAACCGCTTGTCTTATGTAATAGCGATTGACTGAATACAAAATTGAGTTTCTGAATAGACAAAAATTGTAATTTAAAAGTTTTATTCAGTAAGTTACCATGTTTACACCCGTTTTGGCAATCCAAAAAAAAGCTCATGCGTGACTTGTAGATCTTTGGTAAAATTAAATTTTTAATTCTGCTTAGATTCCGATGAGAGCTATGAAAAATGTTTATAACGATTCAGACAACATATGTCCAGAGATGGAGAATCTGCCAAAACTTCTCTGAGCGATCCCCAGAATTTCTCCGGAAATAAATGAATTAATCAAGTTTTTTCTCATCTCCGAGCAACGGTGTTAATACAAAATCATTTTGAGTCAACAGTGACAATTTGAAGAAATTCCTTTGAAGTTATTTTTCTCATTATTCGTTAAAAACTCGACAAATTTTCCTGCAGAGTTAATATGAATTGAATTTTTAACTTGTGCATGCATATGTCTTCCTAGTTTAAGCCTCTTCCTCCATTACATTAATCTCATCAGTCGATAGCTAATACACACGAAATAATACAGTATTTTTTTTTGTCATCGCATGTATATTAGAAATGTAAAACTTAATTTATTCATTCAGTTTGAAATCAATTGGTCAAACACTGAACAGAGTCAAAAGAACCTTCGCTACTCGTTTTTTTTCATTGTTTGCTCTATTGTTTCAAATGATATGAATTGTTATCGTGTTTGTCAGTTATAAAACGAAAAACTTGTCAGATATAGGTTACATGAATGAACCTCTACATATACAATTGTTAAAATCAACGATTTAAATCTGAAGTATATCTTTAATTTGCTTTTTTTTCTTCGTGTTCATTCAGAGTAATGTTCGTTGCTAAGAAGGCGCAAAAAGAATATGTAGCTGATTATTATTTGAAAAAGAACAGAACAAATATCTATTTACATGATTGTATACTTTTGTACAGTAAAGAATCGAGTAATAAAAATTAGTTAAGCTCGAGCGAAGTGCAATTTGATAAGATCTCGATGGAAAACTTCTGATGTTAAACTATCCCCCACCTTTATAACGACAGTATAGTATAGGTAAAATCTCTTCGGGCAAGTTGTTTTTTTTATCGGATTTCATCGCTTTTTTACTTTGACCAGATATAGGCTCTAAAAACGCTGAGAAAATTTTACATTTGCCGCTTCGACAGATAATGCTTCAAAAAGCGCTTGTTTTTCTCATTTTTATTATAAAAAAATCAATTAGTCTGAACAATAGTAATTAAGATAAAAGCGGTACCTTTATCCAATGAGATAAATATCACACAAAAAAAAGAAACACAGAATGAGAAGAAAACGGTTCTTTTCTTCTCCCACTGTTGGACAAAGTATATTCTTGTGTTTCCTTATATGTTTATCCTTAATAATAAGAACATCGGAAGAGAAATTCTTATAAATGAACAACTGAACTAGGGGAGGATCATACAGGACTTCACTAAACATCTGAATCTTTTTGAAGGTTATCATTCATTTGTCTTCTGATATATATTTTAAACTTATTTTTCCTCTTTCTGTCCTTTTGTGTTGGTGTCGTTGTGATCAAAAAGAACTTACTGTATTTACAATCTAAAATGTTCATTCTTTTTCTTATTGTCGTTATTTCTTGAACTCTGAGAGACTACGAGACATGAATCAATAGTAAAATCAATAGTAATACAGTATAAATATGCACTCAACTAAAGCTCATCACCATCATCAGATTAAAATGCGTCATCGAAAACGATTGAAAAAAAGGTAATAATATTCTCAGACACTTACTTTGTTTAAAGAGAGACATAGAAAGACTTTCTTTATTGTTCAAATATTATTGTTGTGTTAGAACAATGGAATAATAACTTTTTGTACTTTTATGTTAATCAGTACACGACCACTTCAGCTTTATGTCTCGCGAAAGTTGAAAAGCAAACGTTAGATCATTCTATTTTACTCAAATATATCGTACAGTAGTAAATGTAATGCACGAAATCTACAGAGTAGAAGAGCTTAGATGCTTTTTCTTTTTCTTATATTCTGCATTGCATAGGCTGGTTATAAGAAAAATTATTGATGATGTTAATGCTATTTTCTTCTCATTTTAGAACAATGGATTTAGAAACAGAGATTCCAATTTGGTACGATGGTCGAATGAAATGGATATCAAATCTGACAAGTCGGTCAACATGTGACGATATTATAGACGCCATTTTTCACGAATCCTCTTCACGTACCCATCAAAATCATTCATATGTTCTATACGAATGTTGGCGTGGTGTTGAACGTCCTTTAGATGGTAAATGTCGTCTACTGAAATTGTGGCAAACGTGGGCTGAAGAGTGTTCGAATGTTACTCTCTCTGTTCGTCACAGACCACCAACAATGGATGGAATTGTTAAAACGAGTACACCGACAACGAATCGAAGTCCAGTTAGAATGGCGACTAACGATCAAATAAACGATACGTTGAATCGGTCTACTTTAGAAAGACGTTCGAAACGAAATCGTGATATCGAACGAACCGAACGAGTCAATCGTTATGTGAATATTGTACTATACCAAGACAAAAAATTAGAAAAACTAAAGAGAGATATCAGAAAAACTGATGGGAACTTGAAAAAATTAAAAGTAAGTTGTGAGTATTTCTTTAACAAGTAAACATCAATAATAATGGGTTTTAGTACATACAGACAGTATGATCGATTCTTCTATGTTTTTTGAGAAAGCGATAAAGAAGATATAATTACATTTCACTGTAAGTATTTTGCTAAAAATGACAGAAAAATGTTATTCACACTCTGATTTTTAACATTCTGAATTTTATTTTTGTTATTATATGTCCTGTAGAGTAACAGTGATAATGAAGAATCCAAGTAACTCTGATTCAAATAACTGTTCATAGTAATTAAAAAATATTTTCGTACGTTATCATGTTAATAGAGTTAACACCTAAAAAAACTATTGAATGTCAAACTTCGTATTTACCTCAGATATATACCATTTTAAAACAAGTTTTCTTAAAATTCTTCGATTTACTGTTCAATAATTGTAATCTATCTGCTTTGCGTATACATTTTTTAAATAAACCTTCTCTTTCTCTCTATTCATATCTGAATCAGATTAGGTACTACTTAATCTATTGAACATATCTTTGACATACTTATAGTTGAATGTCCGAAAACAAAAGATTAATCGTACAAAAGCTTCAGCGTATGTTATTCTTTTCTCATTTAGGCGTTAGAAACAATCGACACATCGCAACAAAATGAACAGAATTTAATTCTTCATCGTAATTCTTCAAGTGACGATTCAGATATATCTCTGTCTGACATTTCGAATATTTTTTCTGATCTCTCAAGTGATTCGGTTAATGAGTACACTCAGTTATGTCGTAATATTCTTCATTTACACCACGAATTAGAACTTCAAAATCAGCTAATACTACGACTATCGAGTGAAATTGAACATGAACTACAAACATCATCGATACCTGATCAACCTCCATCACGTTCAATTCAATTTTCTGATATTTCAACGCTAATTAAAAATGTCAGCGAAAGCCTGGAAAAGAGTCGGGCACTCTATGAACAGTCAGAACAGTTTGACAAACAAATTCAGACATTATCTGCCGATATTAAACAGAAAACAAAACAAGCTGAAGAGTTAGAACAAGAATACGATTTGATGGATATTGAAGTTGACAACCAGGACAGCGAAAGTGAAGAACAAGATGAAGAAGGTAAATTATTTATATCGAAACTTGGCAGCCATTTGAAGTTCTAGTGATGGATATAACTCCGCGAAGTACTAGTTCTGTTTGACTGTAGTTCTTATTCGATGGGGAGATGTGTTTTGCTTTTTAGACGATATTACTGAACCGGATAGTCTAGAAGAAATGGATAAACAACCAGTGAAAGCAAACAAAGTTGAACATCATCGAAAATTAAAACGTAAAATTCAACAAACAACAAAGACAAAAACCATAGATAGTCTCAATTATTTGAATCAACATTTGAATAATTTAGCTGCTGCTCAACAAAAGAACAAAAGGGAAAATAGTAGAGTAAAAAATGTTGGAGTAATGAAAAGTGAAACAACTGACCAATGGACAACAACAATCAACGATAATACTCAAGAGCGTGTTAGTACATTAAATGATGTAGAACACGAAGAAATTCCTCTACCAAAACACGAACAAGAACAGAAATATACCAATGAAAATATGCTGGTAGCTGAACAAGGTAAGATGTAACTACTCGATTCTTCAATATTTTAATTAATATCCTTTGTAGGTGTACGACCAATTTTATCAACTCAAAACCCTTCAGTCCATCGTCCAACAGCGATTGTTGAACCATCTTTGTCTTCAGTATTAATTCAACAACCAACAACCAATGCTCGTTCCTCATCATTTATCAACAGTGTTCTCAACATTTTCTCTGATAATAATGGGCGTTCTTCATTACGATTAAAAAGTTCAAATAAACGTTTAGCGTCGTCGAATATAAAACTGTCGCATAACGACAATACACCTTCGTCGGTACTTGGAACGCGTCAATCATCGTCATCTTCTCAAAGTATTTATCAAAACGTGATTCAACAACAGGATGAAAAACGTACTTCAAAGAAATCTTATCAACATCCACCGCCCACCTATCGATTTTTCGTTGCTACCGATTACGGTACGTCGAATATTAAACGAACAGGTGCGGCTACTCAAACACAAACATCTAATACAAAAACTAGTATAAATTCTAACATTCAAATTATACCATTTCCAGTACGTAATCTGAATATGTTACCTACACGCTGTTCGAGCACAATGCCCTGGACACAACAAGCAACGGCTTTAAACTCGTATTCCGTTCGTACATCAGCCCTAGTCACTTTACCATCATCAATAAAACCACAAAAAATGACTCATGAGATGCCCACACGGATAGAAGCCGATGAAAGTGATACTGGTATCAGTTCGTTGAATAGCGATGAAAATCAGGGAAATCAACAACTAGTTACACTTGTTTAAACTTTTATTGCATAATTATTTTTTTGTCTAAGATATATGACTTTGAAAAAGACATAGCGAATAGAAAAGACTGATTGCAAGAAAGACGATAATGTGTTTGAGCTTCAGTTATGAAAAAAATGTTATTACTCAGACGATTATTGAGCATCGTACATAATCATATGGAGTTGCTCTTTACGGAATATTTTCTTAGTTTTGAAAAAACACATTCGAAACATCTGTTTGTAAGACTGAGCCAACACTTGGAGTGCATTTGAATAACAAGAGTAGAGAAACAATGATAGCCGGCACGGACAAGCCTCAATTAGAAATCTACATTGGGAGACTAACAAAGAGATCATCACTGCGAAATTGTTGGATTGCTATATTGGGATACCCAGAATAGCAATCTAAGAAAACATGTCTTTTAGAGATAATTTTTACTCTGCTCATAAACTACCTAAGTCAACTTTCATGATGAAGTCGCGTCGCGACTCATGCTAAAAATTCGCGTTTTGGCAGCAGACAGACTCAGTCTACTTTGTTTTTATCCTTTTGTAAGAAGAACCTTGTAGCTTTAGCTGTCTTTACAAACATGTGAACTTTGAAATACTGTATCAGCACGACACTAATTCACACTAACCTGGAAAATAACAGTATTGCGATGAAACTAGTTTTCTCCTTCACACTGAAATATTTCTAACTTGGAAGTTTTGTTTGAATAAAAGATCAACGGTACGATAGTGATCTTTCTAAATGTTTCTTTTGTACTTGCTGATATGATGAAAGGTTCATTATTCTTTATTCATATTTCATACAGATACCTATTGTTTGGAGAAGTATTTTGAGTTCGTCACGCATTATGAGTATGAGAACATTGACATACTAGAGAAGAGATTGTTTTAACTCTTTTTGTCTCTCTGGTAAACGTACGTGTTTACCCGTATGGTAAGCGTCTTGTTACAAGGTGAGTATTGATATATTTATTTGTTCGTTTATAGAGAATTATATGACAAATGACTTTTCTTCGAGTATAAAGTTCTTTCTGAGCTGTTAGGTCCGCATGCGGTCCTAAGAGCTCTCTATCTAACAAATAACTGGACAAACTAAAGAAAAATACAAAGAACACTACAAAGAGTAAAAAACATTGAATAGAAATAATTAGATATAATTCTTCATTTTGGTTTTAATGACAGCTTAGTTCAATTACTTAGCAACAACTTTAAACTAGCTTATCTTTTACAACAATCATAACTTACAAATAATTTGGTTACATATATTGATTATTCTTGATACGGATGACAAATGGATTTGTCAGAAGCCAAAGAGTATCGGACACAGTCATTGAAGGATGGACATAATCAACCAATAAGCAGTTTTGCGAACAAAATAATCGCCACCTACGCGCGTATCCGAGAGTGCGCTGAGGACGGTATCTGGATATCTCTCGTTCGTGAAAATGAAGCGCTCGCGTTAGCGAAAAACGCAGAACTAAACAACTTATTCCTGCGAGGTCGGACGTTTGCAATCAAAGACAATATCGATTTAGCCGATCTTCTCACCACTGCAGCATGTCCAGCTTATACCTACACACCTAAACAACATGCGGACGTCGTCCGACGTCTAATCGAGGCAGGCGCGGTACCAATCGGGAAAACCAATTTGGATCAGTTCGACACTGGTCTGAAAGGCACACATTCGCCGTATGGCATTCTTCACAACGTCTTTAACCCTGCATATATCACCTGAGGATCGAGCTCCGGCTCCGCCATAGCGGTGGTAGCCGGTCTGGTTGATTTTGCTCTAGGGACGGATACAGCAGGCTCCGGTCGTGTGCCGGCGGTTTTTTACAATCTCATTGGCTTCAAGGCCACAAGTCGCCGCTGGTCCATGTCAGGCTTGATCCGGCCGACCGCACCTTTGACTGTATTACGGTTCTCATCAAAACCGTCGCTGAAGCGATGGAACTCGACCAGATCCTTATCGAATTTGATTCTCAAGATCCTTATTCGCGATCCAAACTCTCAATCTCTTCCATTCAGAACCCACGAATTCGCATCCTACCAGTCGGAGAACGGGAATTTTTCGGCGACTCCGAATATGCATGCTCGTATGACAAGGCTATTGCTCACGCCGTCACGCTGGGTTTTCAGCTCAGCGAGTTCAACTATCGACCCTTCCGAGAGGTCACTAGCCTTCTTTACGCCGGCCTTGGGCTGGCAGAACGATACGCCGCCATAGCTTCCTTTATTCAGGAACAACCTGAAGCGATGCATCCCGTTGTGCGCTCAATCATCAAAGGTAGAGATGCGCAACCCGACCCGACCCGACGGTTGGGTACGGGTACGAAGCTGACGGGTACGGGTTCTATTTTTTTTAATTTACCCGAAAACCCGAAGGTTCTAGTGGAAAACTCACAAAATTTTAGTGAAAAAATACAGGAATTTATATTTATATAGGATTAAATTTCGAGGCAATCAGTCGCTGACGTGGATCAACTGGAACAGCACATGGTGCGCCGAGATACACATCACCCAATCCGAAAACAATATAACTTGTTTCAAATACTATTTTTTTAACATCATTCTGATCCTTCAATCCATTTATCCGACGAATAAATTCGATATTACTCGGCAACAACTCAAAATGAGGTTCTGAAAGGTCGACTTGTATCGGCCATTACTGGCGGTCGCGTTTTGAATGTACTGGTTAAATTAGGTCAGCGTGTTGAACTTGATGAACCTTTACTTGTTGTTGAAGCAATGAAAATGGAACTTACCATCTATTCAGAACTAACTGGAATAGTAAATGCTGTCTATTGTGAACAGGGTAAAATGATAAATACCGCTGATATTTTATTTAATATTGAATAAAAAAATGGTTCATATGACATGTGTTTAAACGATAAACCTAATATTTACGAAACCTTTGTACTTACTCAGGCTTAATGGTTTTTTTTGGATTCAAACTAAATAAAG